AGAGAGAGAGAGAGAGAGAGAGAGAGAGAGAGAGAGAGAGAGAGAGAGAGAGAGAACTAGAGAGCAAGCTGTAGGTATCCATCATCTGCTGCATCTGCATCCAGCCATAAAAGTCTGCAAGTGAGCACTTGAATCAGGAGTGACAAAGTTATTGATTTGATTACATAAAACAGAAATTTGCCCTCAGAAATCTTCAAAATATTTGGGACGAACTTGGGAAACCTTTTGATTTCAAAGCTATCATATTTGCTAGAAATAAAAGATATACTTATGTCCAATATAGTAACATAGCTTCAGAGTTGCAAATGGCAAAAACATCACTAAAGGACGAGAAAGCAAGCAACCGAAGTTCCAGAGGCTACAGTGCCTTGTACACTCAGGTCTTCAGTTCTGAGCCTCACATACAGTCTTGACTTCATAATGAAAGACATTGTTGTTTCACTCATTTAAAGAACAGCAACCATTCTATAAAGAGTTTAATTCTCTCCTCTTGTGACTTTACAGTTTGATTAACTAGCTACATGAACTACATCCCCAAACTAAAACCAAATATGGTAAAACCTTGTTAAAGCTGAAGAGACAGGGGGTGGGGTGAGGGTGGGGGTGGGGAGAGTTGTTTAAATCAGCTTGAAGATCAGATTTATTCTTGAGGCATTATTGATTACTTTCAAGTTAATTCACTCTCCCCCAATAAAGTATTATAGTTTCTTCAAACATGTCCTGCTGGCATGACAAGATAAAAGTCAACTGTTGGACAAAACCAGGGAAGGAGACATGGATGCAGTCCTGATTCTGCACTTGGCAGAATCCTGACCTTGAGCACGGTTTGCTTGTTTGTTCTCAATTTCTTCATTTGTACAATAAAGCATGTAGAACCTTGAGTACCTAAGTTGCACTTTGATCAATTCTATAATAAGATGTAGCTTTTTCTAATGATTCATTTAAAGTGCTTTGACCGAGTCTGATGAAATCTTCCCTGACACATGGAATCATATTAACTTATTCATTTATTCAGCAGACTCTCTGTTGCCCAAGTATAGCTCCAGGGAGAACAAGTACAAGCCCCTGCCCAGGTTCTGTGAGGCCAGTCTCTGGGCCTAGGCACAGACAGCATTCCTAAACACTGCATTCTGTGCAGGACGCCAATGCCTACCGCCCTTGCATGTGTTTGCTCTAGAAATCAAGGAAAGCTATCAGTGGCAGACACTTACGGTTTTAGGGTTGCCCACATTTCTCAAATTCAGAAGTGGGTAATTTCAGAGTCTAAGTGCGAGGAAACAAGGACTTTCCTAATGCCCTGGTTCACCAGTTTAGAATTCTTCAGACAAGCTGAAGGGATGGACAGAGAGGACTGCAAAAGCTTCAAAAGGCAATAAAACAGTCATTTTTCCTTATGTAAGGCAAAATTGCTCAGTTGCTAATGATTTAATAGAAATTTTAGTGAAAGAAGGATCCAGAAAGTGAACAAGCACTAGAGAAGCAGCATTGAAGATCGTGGACTAGCACAGTCCACTCTAACCCTCCAAGGGCCTCAGAGACACGAGCTGCTGTTGTGGAAGCTTAGAACACGGGCTCTGCCTTCCTCTCCTACCCAATCAGGAGGCAACAGAAGCCTTCTGATTCGAAGGATTCGTAACTGAACAAGTGGCCCTGAGAGTTACTACCAAGGCAGAGGATGCCAGCACAGACTTCAGATAGAGAGAGGAGTCCTGTGTCATCTCAGAGGGTGCCATCACACAAAGTGCTAGATCAGGATGACATCATGCAAAGACTACCCTTCCCAAAGGCAAACGAAGCCAAGGCAATCACCGTTCTACACTCCATACTTCTGCTTCCCTAAGCCTCATCCTAATGACTCCCTCTGCACTCTCTCCTCCAGGGTGGGACTTGAGCCTTCACACTTGCAGCCAACGTAACTGTGACCATGGTGACATGTGACACCAAAAATGTCATTTCCCTTCGGCTCTGGAAGTGAACACAAAACCGAAATGTGAAACTGGCCAGCTCAGCAAAAGAAGTGAACCACTTAAGTACCATGCACCACACACTCACTGCAAATCAATCATGCCACACAATGGACCGTCGGAGCTAACAATGCTCTCTCACAGTCTAGTGAGTTCTATCTTAACGTATATTACAAAATATAGAAGACCTGCATTGTTATCAAGTGGAATATTGTCAAAGAGGTTTTATCTGGATTAGCTAACTTATGTGTTGTGTTTCTCCAGTGTAACATTGTAACAACTATTTTAATAACATTTACTTTGTATTGTATATTTTGTGTGTGTGTGTGTGTGTGTGTGTGTGTGTGTGTGTGTGTGTGTGTGTGTTCATGTGTGTAAGTGCCTGTTGGGGCACGATGCACATATCCATGTATGTTTATGTATGAAGAGGTGGAAGAGCTAACTTGACTATCGCCTTTGGCAAGGCCATTTACCTTTTTTGACACAAGGTATCTCATTGGCCGGTAGCTCAACGATTAAGCTAGACTGGCTGGCCAGGGAGCCACACTACTGACATTACAAGGACATGCCACTCTACCAGCCATTTATATGTGGGAGCGACGAGCCAAGCTGGGTCTCCCACTAGCTGCTTAACTGCTCTGCTGGTTGAAAGATTGTCACTCACTCAATAATAACCTTTATTTTTTAAAAGGACAGTTATGGGTTCACCACAAAATTGAGCAAAAGTCATAGAGATTTCTCATATACGTCAGAGCTCCCACACATACATGCCCTCCACCAATATCAATGTCACAGAGTAGCTATTATATTCACTATAATTAATATACCATTAACAGTCAAAATCATTTTTAATAAAACTTTTACTCTTGCTTATGGGTATGTGAATGTGTGCACACATGCACATGTGTGTGTCTATATGTATGCATATTAATTAACACGAGTGAGCACATGTGTCTATATCTTATAAGAGGTTAAATGTCCTTTATATGTATATTTTTGCGTATATGCTATATATGGACACATATATGTGGTGAGAGAAGTAAAAATAGAGAAACTGCTGTTTTTCTTTCCTTTGTATGAAACCCCTTTCACAGGATTAGAAAGTGTATATAAAATGGTAATAACATTCACTACTGGGATAGTTCTTAAAGATACCATTGGGAAGGACAGATATATACATTTTAAAAGATTTCCATTTCCAAATGCACCTCCATAAATTTACTCTGTCATGAATATATCTAAATTGCTTCTATTGCAAATTATCATGAGCAAAAGTGAAAGTCAGGTCTGGGAAATGGCTCAATAGACACCCAGAGGTCAGGTCCCCCCTCTGTGTGAGAGGCCAGGCAGGTGTGGCAGCCTTCCTGTGATCTCAGCACTGGGGAGGCAGAGACTGAGGATTCCTGGGGCAAGATGTCTAGCTAGACTATCTGGAATTGGAGAACCTTCCACAATACGTAAAACAGAAAGCAACCTAAAGTGTCACCAGACATCAACTTCAGGTCTCCATAGACACACACACACACACACACACACACACGTTTTCACACATGTTAACGTTCATACATACACATAAACATACCCACAAGCAAAAGAAAGAGCAGAAGTCTGACTTCTTTTGAGGCATTTTTCATTCAAAAAGGCAAAACCATTATATGGATCAAAAGTATTTGGAAAGTGTTTATAAACTTAAAAAATAAAGGTTTGCAACATTATCAACTAACTAAAGAGGATGAACATTTAAATTGGGAATATTTAAAATAAATAAGGAGTCAATGGGAAATTTTTCTGGTCATTCTAAAATGGAGAGTGATAAGAATACCACACTGGAGCTTACAGAACATTCTCTCTGCTCATTTTATCTGTACAGATGACCATGCCTCTTACTCTGTCATGATGTAGGCCTTCTCCTAAGGCAAAAATAATTAATGCCAGAAAACTAGGAGACACAGCTAGCCAAAAGAAAGCAAACTCCTTCTCTTCTGTCTTCCAAACATAATCACCATTCCATCAAATTAACAAGGAAATGCCCTGCATGCTTTCCAGCAAGAGCTATGTCAGGAGTTCTCAGTGCTCCAAATACTGATAGCAGCATCTGGTTTTAGTGGCTGCTAATCCCACAAGCATTCAAAGCTAGGAATGCTTTGAATTTGCTTCTGAAACACTACCACCCATCTACTTGAGATGAGAAGAACTCCAGTTAGTGATGGCAGAATTACCTCATAGAGTAGCCCCCCCCCTTCATGGAATCACAAGTATAAATCAGCTTTTAAATCCATGTCACTCTCCTCCTAGACATTCATTCATTGATTCTCTGTTACAAAGCTTGTGATTATTTCCACCAATCACTGGAAGTTGCGAAGTTTTAATTCATAGTCGTAATCTGATCAGGTGCCCTTGTTCACTCCAAAGTATTTGACAATTCTGCAATAACCCCAACAAATGTGAAAGGAACTGTTTTAAATATGTTGTATACACAAATAGGTCGCAGTTCATAAGGTTTCAAATGACTTATTCTTCCCGAGTGAAGTTATTTATGTGTGCTATCAAGAATTCGTGTGTTCTTAAGAATACTCATTGGGTTGGGCTGTCAAGACACTGCCTGAATACCTGAAAGTTTTTCTGATTGAGAAAACAAGCATTTGATGACAGACTTCCTGAGTGTGAGTCCTTATTATCTCTTTTATTAGCTACGAGACCATAGACTATCTATCTATCTATCTATCTATCTATCTATCTATCTATCTATCTATCTATCATCTATCATTTATCTATCTCTGCCACTGTACCCTCTGCTGTAAAGACAGTGCACCAAGACATATGGAAGTGCTCAAAATGGTGATAGGTGTACAGTAAAACCTCACAAGTGTTAACTACTGTTAGCTCTCATTCCATCACCACTGAATCTCCTGCTTACATCT